CCTTTTGGTGATGTCCTGTTGCCTGGAGGAGGTACGAGCCTGGATGGGCAGAAACAGACTCAAACTCAATCCCTCTAAGACTGAGTGGTTGTGGATGCCGGCATCTCGGGTTTCAGAGGCTTCATCACTTTTGATAGATGGGGAAAAACTTGCACCCGTTGATAGGGCTCGCAACGTGGGTGTCCTCCTGGATGCTCGGCTATCCCTAGAAGACCATCTAATGGCCGTGACCAGAGGGGCCTTCACACAGGTTCGCCTGGTGTGCCAGTTGCGCCCTTTCCTGGACCGAGATGACCTTCGCACAGTCACTCATGCCCTGGTTACTTCCCGCTTGGATTACTGCAATTCCCTCTACATGGGCCTGCCCCTGAGATGCACCCGGAGACTCCAGCTGATCCAGAATGCAGCTGCATGGGTTGTTATGGGAGCCCCTCATTACTCCCATATAACACCCCTCCTGCGTGAGCTGCACTGGTTATCAGTGGTTCTCCGGGTCCGCTTCAAGGTGCTAGTCCTCACCTATAAGGCCCTTCATGACTTAGGTCTGGGATATTTGCATGACCTTCTCCTACCTGCCTCTCATCGTGCTGTTCGCTCACATAGGGCCGCTCTCCTCAGGGTTCCGACGGCGAGCCAATGTCATCTTGCTGTGCCCAGGGGTAGGGCGTTCTCTGTGGGTGCTCCCACCCTCTGGAATGAATTACCTACTGAGCTCCGGACGGCTCCTGATCTCCGCTCCTTCCGTCGGGACTTGAAGACTTGGCTTTTCAAACAAATAGGCTGAGACTGATTCCGGGCTTTATTATTTACTACTAATTAATTATTTGGATTAAATTATGATTTTATTGTACTTGTGTTCGCCGCCCTGAGTCCTTCGGGAGAATGGCTGCATATAAATACATGTAATAAATAAATAATAAATAAATAATTCATTTTATAACAATGAAAATCCATGGTTTATCATTTACACATCACACTGGGGGGAAAAAAGAAACAAGTTGCATAATTGCTAAGCAGAAGGTGTAAATATATGATGATTGGGTATTACAACTCATCAAAGTGTGGCAATACAGAATACCTCCTCCCAGTTTATATTCTGGAGGAATTATGAAAAGAGGGATTTAGGAAGTGTGAGTGGAAAGACAGATTGGACGGAAGGTCACAGTCCCTAGAAAAACGTCCATCTGTCAAAGGGATAGATTTATGTGTATATATTTAGTGTTGGGGATGGCAAGAAGGGCAGCTTACACACACACACACACACACACACACACACACACACACACACACACAAAAAAAAACTGTGCTGGTCTTATATCTTTCCCACATTCTTCCTAGTCACTTTACCTTAAATATTTATAAATAAATATAGGAGAAAAATGAAAGAAATGGAAATGGTCTTGTGGCAGCAAAAACAATAGAACTATCCTTGAAATAATGGGGTTACACTTTAATTTTGAACAAAGCAAGGAAAATAAGGACACCCCTTTTGGCAACAGGGCTTGTATGTGACAGAATCAATTATAGATTTTTCATTTCAAGAGGGTAAAATTTCCCTTTATTACGGTAGTACTGCATTTTGCTCTCTAAAAGGTAAGAATCTTCATTTTGAATCCGACAGCAAAAATACCTTCTGCAAATTTAACACATAGGGAAAATAATATTTTCCCTGTTTAAAATTAAAATCTTGATGATTGTGTTCAAATGGTAAATAAATAGCTGTGGCACATGCTCACTGACAAATTCTTATAGCTCTGCAAACGCACATTAGCATGTCTTCAGTACTAATTACTTTTATTGCTTAATATTTGCAGTGGAAATACTTTTTAACTCCCATTTGCATATTTAAGTTTTACAGGTCAAATTTTCATCTTCGTAACAAGGAATGGTTAACAAAACATATAGTGATTAATCAAACTTTTTATTTGGTGCAGTTAGGTGTTTTACAGCTATATCATGTACATACACGTCTATCCCAGCGGTTCTCAGAGTGTGCGCTAGGGACCCTGGGTGTCTCCAACAGTATTTCAAGGGTCTATGAAGACAAATAAATATTTAAAAAATTCTCTGTTTTAATTTCTAATATAGTAAATATTTATAGATATAGCCCACATAAACCAATGTTCTTTCCTCACTCATTTTTAAACAATATAAAGAGGAAGTCCTGAGATTTAATGTTTGAGAACTGCTAATCTATCCCACTGTGCTGGATCAGGTGTTACACTTCGATCAAGGGATTATGTTTGTCTTTACACCTTTTATTTGCTTATATCTTATTTTCCTCAGTCCCACTTACAGTTTCAGTGTAAGTGGGGCTGAAGAAAATAAGATATAGGCAAATAAAAGGTGTAAAGACAAACATAATCCCTTGATCGAAGTGTAACACTTTCAGTGGGGTAGGCACAAGTGAGCATCTTAAACTACCTAGATGCCTTCTGGTGTTGTCACAGTAGTTTTGTATGGTATTAGCAATATAACCTGGATATAATGGAGGAGACCATCTCAGTGAAATGTTGGAAGTACAGAATAACCCAGGATTTTCTTCTGGAAGGCATAGATTCTGAAAAAAATCCCTCAACTGTAGCACCTGGAACTAGTGTGACTTTCTTCCCTAATAATGTAACTTTGAAGGGGTAAAAGCAAAGGAACAGTAGCTTGATGGATTCCAGAAGCCTGAAGCCTGAAACAGAATGTTATTTTTTTTTAAAAGCTATTTTCCTAGATAATTTACAAGCTTACAAAAACATAAGCTCTCCAGCCAACCATGAAACACAAATGCCAAAATTAATCACTTAATGCCCTTTGCTTTAGGATTCAGCATGCGGTTTAAAATATAACAGAACATTTTAAATGGCTCAAGACTGGAGGATAAAAAAAACAATATTTTGCATCCCAGTAAAAATGAAAGAATGGAAGGTTAACATATAAAGATTTGCAGGAGGGAATGAGAATAATGCTTAGAAGTTTTTAAATGTTTCTAAAATAGTTTTTTTTTTTAAAAAAAAGCAAATTGATAAAACTAGTCAAGAGTGTTGGAAAAAATTGGGTTCCACAAGGAACTGAAAATAGCTAAAGTAATGAAATATGCACCTGTCTTTGCTGGTCTTTTTGGGACAAGTTACATAAGCATAATTTCTTGAATTATGAAGTTGAGCGTAAGATTTGATGTTCTCCAAATCTTTTCATATCATATCAAACCTGGGAATGATGTTACCTCATTTATTATGTTCATGCCACCAAAGCATGATATATGGAGTTGCTAGATTATTTTCAACTCAAGCACTGCCTAGACTGATTTTCTTAGTTTCAGCAAGGTACATGGACCATATACTCCTTAATGTAATGTACCATTGGTTTATGGAAGCAGTTTTCCTTTGGCATGCTTTATATTTATTATTAGATGAAGGGGATTTTGATACTTTTGAGGGTGTGTGAAGCTGAAGGGATGGTTAACAATTGATATTTTAACAGGCTATGGGCATTTGGTGATCTCGTATGGCTTGATATTTTTTCCTCTGTATTTCCCTGCTATGCAGTTATTACTGTACTTGATTTTTTAAAGTTTGTCATCCGCTGTACGCTGCCTTGAGATGAATTGAATTATGCTGTGGTTGGTTGTAGTCAGCCAGATGTTTAGACTGGATTTGGCATTTTTATCGAATCCTTAGTACTATTATTCCAGAGATGATTTACTAATCCCTGATGGCAGTGTGTAGAGAAGCAAGCTTTTCTTGTATTTTTAGTTTTATTTATTAAAATTTTATTAGATTACTTTTCTTATGTGGTCTGGGCTTGCTGAAGATAATATAAAAAAGGAAAACTTTATTCTGCCTTTGCAGAAAATATTATTTTTTAAAAGATAACTAGTTAGAATAATTTCTATAAATTGGTAAGTATCAATTCCTCTAAGTCATTTGCTATCTCTAAAATGTCACTGTGCTATATTGAAACTCAAGGCCATTATAGCAGACCTGGATTGCGACAGTCCAAAATGTCTTTCTCTAAATACGGTTTTGGATTGTACTTGCATCATAGCAGTACTAAAATGATTGAAAACATCTAAAAGTGTTTTGCTGGCTAAAGGAAAACATATATTACTTCTTAGTGAATTAATCACATATTTGTTTTCTACAATTTGTAAGATGAATAATTTACAATTTCTTCCAGGTTTATTCGGCAATAAGCACATATTTATTTACTAAGTCACCTCAAAAGATCCCAAAACAGAAAATACAAGTTGATTTCCAGCTCAACTCTAATTATTAAAAACCAACTCCAGAACTGGCAGAAACATATTCAACATAGAAGCAGTATCTTTTGGTTGACAGACAAAAAGTTTCTGAATTAAGGATGAACAAGAGAAATTCTGGTGAGAGAAAAGTTCCCTGATGGTGTCCACAAGCTAGGAAGACTAAACCTCTGGTCCCAGTGATTTGACCCAGATGAACAAAAAAATTTGAAAACATGCATGTATCTATTTAGCTTCCTTATGACTTGCATAACAAGCACATATCTGTATAGCTTACTTATGACTTGTATCTGGTTAATCTATTCCTTCTTGGATGTAATGATTTCCATGAAACATAACTGCTCACCATGAAACTAAGTTGCTCACATTCTCTCCATCTTTGTATGTTTGCCACAGCTCCAGAAAATGAATTGTTAGTTTTACACTCTGGTATATGAAATGAAAAATATTCTATTATCTAGTTAATCAAATACAGATTACTTTCTACAAGGGTGAATATATATATTGAAATTATTGATATACAAAAGTCATTTGTGAAGAGGCTGCCTGCCCTTCCTACTTTTATTTTTCCTTTGACAACCCATAGCACATGTCATTATGCCCGGTCTAGTTTTTAAGATATCATGTAATAATGTGGAAGAACACTGAAATGGAAGTCATCATAATGTTTAGATGCCAAGTCAATAATCTGAATGAGGCTGAAATGCAATTCATGTAATTCAGGAATGAGATTTAGAATAAGGCGGTGGGAACTGGTTTAACCAACATATTTTTATTAAAATTTCATTACAACTGCCAACTGTAACCCAAATTTTGAGAGTTTTTTCAAATTTGAAAATTCAAGAGATTCTAATATACTTGGAATCTGACAAAAAACATGCTGTAATTAAAAGCAGTCCCCAACTTTCTAGGTGAAATTCAATATTAAGTCATTTATTTGGGGTATATGAAGTGGCTTAAGGAACTTCCCACAGATCATTAATTTGATTTCTAATCCCAGCAGTTTGGCTTTAGGATTGTAAAATCTTTGGTTCATGTACACATAGCACCATAAATTCTTCATATTTATTTCTCCAGTGGGGCATAGTTCAGGAGCTTTTCAATCAGGTCTACATGGGCAAGCAACATTCTGCGACAGCAGTATCTTTTCAGACCCAAAGCATCCAAGGCGTCACTAGGAACAAACAAAAGCAATAGTATTTTCAAAGAAAAGCATCATGCTTAAATCAGATCCCAATAAAATAAATACAAATTCGAGGCCTTGTCCACAAAGAGAAGAAGAATGAGAGACAAAGATAATGTGAGCATCTGCAGCAGAGGATGGTGCAACTAAGAACTAATCAGAGATCATTAGGGGGAAAAGTTGTGAAAGAAGTTGCCTCATAAATGCTCTGTTAATTCTACTTGGATCAATTACTAGTTTTTAGATTTTTCTACTCATAAACATGTGCCTGATTTGATTGCCTTGAGCCTTCCCACTTAAAATCACATCTGGTGTCTTGATAGTCTAGTGAGAGGAACTGCTGTTTTGATCGAAGAACCAAGGCTATATATTGGGGAAAAAAGATGCTTTTGACTACTTCAAATCTTATCTTCTTAACAAGGCAGATGTAGAAGATGGCTTCTGCCCTGCAGGAAAATGTAAAAAGAAAATGTGGGGAACTTTTAGATCTATGATTTGTTTATTTTCTTTCCACCCCAATGCTTAGGAATTCTCTACCACAAAAGTCACAGTGTTGGCTTCTAGCAGTTTTCAGCATCTTCCTCTTTTTCTTCTTCCCAACTGCACAATATTGTATTTATATAAAGAAAGACTCTGAACAACAACAAAAAAGTCTCTTTCAAAACAGAAGAGCAAAAAAGAGAAAAAGACAGGAATCCTTTGTAATTCCTAGCTTCCTCTCCTTTTCAAGCTATGACTGTCAATTTTATCTGAAATTAATTGTGGTGATTCCTGTCCTCATGTTATCACTGTGTGGATTGTGTGAGAGACACACGTGCCTATGAACACATGTATATGCATATGCCTGCAAGAGTCCCCATTATACAAAAATGACAGGATTGAAACACAACAATAATTTACTGAACCAGTAACTACTCATTCAAATTAATTTCAGGGCACATGTTGCAATGCTGTATGCTACTAGTATAGTGCCACTCTCAAGAAAAAGCATTTAGTTTTTTCCCCCAGTAGTATAAATGCAGTATGGCAGAAACTCCTTGCTTTGTAATGATTTCAACTATCTGACCTTGCTGTATCATCCAGGATTGATTGTATCACTCTGATTTTATCATTCTGATGCATGCAGTGGATTATTCAGATGGAGGGATAGGAAACAGTATGCTGGTTTTAGATGGATACTTGTTCATTAGGCTCTATCAACCCTCATGATCAGATATAGCTATTCAGCCTCTATGTAGTAGAACAGTTTATCTGGGCTTAATCCTGACCTTCCAGGTAAATATTCCATTTGTTTCTATCTTATATAAATCCAGGATTTCAATAGGGACTAATTAGCATCTTTCATATGGCAGAGTCAGAGGCACTAACAAGGATAGCAATAGTCTCAAAAAAGTTGACATTTTTCAAGTGTTATTATTGCATATTTTCACATGTAAGGAAATATTACATTCTAAACGGGACACTACAAGTAATCCTTGATTTACAACAGCCATTGGGACAGAAATTTCAGTCATTAAGGACTACCTGCGTAGCTCATGATTTGGGTAAGGATTTGTGTAGGCATAAAATATCTAGAGCATTTAACATTCAGTTTGAGATGACAGTCACTCACAGATCAAGTAAGTGAAAGCTAAAAAATGTAAGCAGAGAACTGATGAACACAAAACAGCAATCTGTAGCTTCCCCAATAAGTTCCAGATTTCTACATCAAATGAAAGCAGCTTCATAGAATTCAACCTCAAATCTATTCAAACAACAATAAAACTAAAAATAGTTCATTACACATTTTAATGGTGTATTATAATTGTTCTATTTGTTTTATTAGTGTTTTGATGAAAATTCCCGCATACATAGGCTGCAGAGTTGTATAAGCTTATATGGAGATGATTTTATTGAACTCCAAGGAATTTATTTCTAAGTAGAAATGCATATAAACACATTAATTTCCACCAAAAATGCAGAAAAGCTGAGTGCTGCAAAAGAATTATCATTTACCAATTTTTATGAACCCATGCTCCAGCTTTTAAAAACCCTGTATCTGATAATATGAAGCTAAACAATTAAGCAGAAATGATTATGTTCTTTTCTTCAATATTATTTTTAGTCAGTGCTGTTGGAAGAAACTCAGTGTAAGTAAAAAGCAACATTTTGAAATACGGCAGAATCTCTGCATCTCTGGACAACTAGCTTATTCAGGTGACCTGACTCCTTTTTATTACAATAAATTATTTTAACAATAACTTGAGTGTCCTGAAAATTGTCAGATGACAGTTATTACAGACAATTCTGCTGCTAGGAGGAATTCAATTATGTATTGTATGCTCACTTGGCCAATCTAAAATCATACAATAAATTGCAAGAGAATTTAGGCATACACTCAAATCGGATGTATTTATCATGCAAATATTTTACTAATGTACTAAAATAATATCTCAGGCTGTAGATCCACAGTTTCCAATTCTGTATTTGCAATGAAAAATCAATGGCTATCACAGCATGATTAACGGCAACCAGAGACAATTCTACCAAGGTAAGGAAAATGGTGAATATAGCACAAAAGAGAATAATAGACAATAGTTTCCAAATACTAGCAATCAATGGAAGAAATGTTTTTCAGGCTTTTATAGTACATAATAGGATTCAACATAATGTGCTATTTAATTGCTATTATTGAAAAACAGTACTACATGACTGCAAAAGCAAGCAAGCTTTTTTAAAAAAAGAGCACATCAGTATTAGGGACTGCTGGAACAAGATCAAATTATTTGATCTGTTTTGGTAATATAACAAACTAAAGTATTACTCAGAAATACAGATCTAACAGGACACTACAAGGGAATAATTAAGCAATGTCTTATCCTGTACAAGCTATCAACTGAAGCCACCAGAAAATTAGCAACATTTACATTCAGTGGCATGGGAATAATATACTTAAATATTACATTGCAATCCAAATTGTTATATTGATAAAACTGTTGCTTATTTTACAAAATAGTTATGAAAATATAGGAGTTGAGAATGCATACCCTTCTGTATATTCTGCTTGCAAAAGGCCAAGATATGCCTCCCATTTATTTCCAACTATTTTACCACAAGTGAAGCATCTCACAGGTATAATCATTTTGATCTATGAAAATATAAACAAAACAACATTTAAGCAAAGTGGTATTAAGTGATTCACACTCAATTTTATGACCTTTTTGTTATAGGAGTCACTGCAATTGTTAAGTGAATCACATGATCATTGGGTGAATTCTGGTTTCCCCATTGACTTCACTTGTCGGAAGCTCACTGGGAAGGTCACAAATGGGCACCATGTGACCCTGGCATGCGGCAACCATTGTAGATATGTGCCAGTTGCCAAGCTCCTGAATTTTGATCACAAGACTATGGAAATGCTGTGATGGTCAAAAGTGCGAGGATGGTTGCAAGTCACTTTTTATGCTGAGTCTAAACAGCTTAGAGAGGGATGTAAAGCACTGTGAAGCGGTGTATAAATCTAAGTGCTATTGCTAACCAATAAATGAAGGGTACTTGATGCTGAGTTTGGTTGTTTTCTTGCAGGCTAAGTAACATCATCAGTCCTGGTGCTGATGATGTTATCTAGTTTAGGTACTGAAACATGTGCAAGAAAACAACCAATTCAGATAGCATCAAGGACCCCTCATTTCAACCCTGAGCTACAAATATTCTCCTCTATTGGTAATCAACAAGTGTATTACATTTTCTTAGCCTGATGCCAAATTAGCTTGCAGGATTGTTTTACATCTTTCATTTCTCAATAAATGTTTTTTTGATCATTTTTCATATTATTTGAGCTACCGGTATTTGTGGGATAAAAGGGAATTAGAACTGGTCTGTATCAGCATGACCTCGTGCAAGATGTCTGTGCGCTCAAATGCAATTAATAAATCAGCTTGCCAATGGGTATTGCCCTGAAGAAAAGACAATGTTAAGTGAGAAAAGTACTTCTATTTAGTGAAACTAATTGAAATGGAACAGTTATCCTGTTTCATTCATGAAATGTTTTGTAAGGGTTCATGTGATGCTTTTCTGCATTTTTCTGTATTAAACAGCTGATGCTTCTAGATAAGAATGCTTGCATTATTGTCAATAAAAATACATGCTTCTGTTCTTTCCTTAGTTGACTTTTTTAAATTAAAAAAAGAAAGAAATATGAACGGAATATAATGAAAGATGCTATCTAGTTATTTGATAAAATTCTGCAAGGGCCATTTTGCAATAAATGTTTTATCTGATGGAAGTGTTTCTAGAGGAGATTTTTCATATGTAAATATTTAGCCTCATTTAAGGAATCGTACAGAGGATGAGACTGTATCAATCTCTATTTGCAATTCTGTGTTTTCTCATTACTCTTTTCCAACTCTTTCATTGTAGGGGAAAAAAAAACTAAGATAGAAAAGATCCAATAGCTACGAGACATTTTTGTGATGGTTCTAGAGATAAGGCTTCATTCTGGACAGATACACAGTTCATTTAGACATTCATTTGGGGTGTGTGCAAATGTTGTCATCCTCCATTTGTAACCTTCCCTGTTTTTTCCCCTCATTATTCTATCATTTCTAGAAAAAAAAAAAAGGAGGAAACATTGGAATAGTTACAGATCGGCTGTTTGTATGATATTGCTCATCTAATCAATGTTAATTTATTCAGTGTAACCTACCATTATAGTGAATCATAAATTAATCAAGGCAGGTTACATTCGCACAGCACTGTAGTGTAGACCAAAATTTCACAGCATGAAGCCGCAGTATGTTGTACAACCCAAACTCGGCAGGCTTCACATAGAAGTACTTATGGGGTGTGTTTAGCGTTAGCTCAGCACTGTATGTTTGTGTCAAGCTGTCAACTCCTTAAATTATGCGCAGCACAAGGTTTCTTCCCGCTAAAAAGCTTTTCTGGGGAAGCCTCCGAATCCCACGACGGCATCCCCGAAACAGTTTTTCGTCTTTTCTTCATCAGGTTATCTTTTGTGAAGAAAGAGTCAGAAAAACAGAATAAAAACCAAACTGAAAGGACACGAGCTGCAATTAGACTGGTGTGTCGGTCCCTGTCGGGGGGGGAAAAAAAAACATTCCACGTTTGGGCGATATAGGACACGGCACGTCCTATTTCCAAAGCTTAACAGCCAATGGCAAGTTCCTCTCTGGTCGCTCGGGGTACCTACCACGCCGAGCCGCCAACGGTTGCCTCCCGTTCAACCCCAGGCGACGAAGCTGCCGCTGGTCCACGCTTTAGCAAGGTCACGCCCACTCCCGCGGGCGCTACTACTCCGCAAAAGGGGAGAAATAACGTTTCCTGCCTTCCCTATTTTAGCGTCCCAGGGCAGTAACAGAAAATAGAGACGTGTACCCATAGATATCAGCGTGATCTGTGACAAGCGTAAAAAAAAAAAATCCCTTCCCTTTTTTTAAATCTAAATCTATCCCCCCCAAGGATAAAAAAAATGGTACGTTCCAAGAGGTACGGCACCGCGGTTGGCTCAAGATAACTGCGTTCCTCTACAAGCTTCGCGATTCTCGTGCGCGGTGCGCTGAGTATCTATCTGGCTGGTGCGTTCGCTTTGCGGAGCGCCGAGTTTTAGGCAGCGGCTGAGTTCCGGGGCTCTTCGGAAGCAGCGGCGAGACGGCAAGGTAATTTCCTCGCTTCTTCTTCTTTTCTTTGCATTGCCGCGGTGCTGTTTGGACAACACTTGTTGCCGAGAGTTTTTCCAACGGAGAGTTCGGAACGGGGGATGGAAAGGCTCGTCTCCCCGCTCCGCTGATGTACTCTGCAAACTGGAAAGCGCAACTGGTGGTGTTGCCACTGAGCCCTGCTAAGTTTTTTCCCCCCCCTCCGCTTGTTGATGGGAGCAATGCTGCACTAAAGAAAATAAGCGGAGGGCAGGCAGCGGATAGAAAACAGCTGCTCGCTGCCGTCGTCGGTCTGCTGCTTGTGATCTTACGTAGGAGGCCGGTTGGTTTGTGTTCCGCTGTTGCCGAAGAGCGATTTCTTCTCGCGTTTGCCCCCAAACCGCTCGAGTTAGTAGTGATGTGCGTGTTTGCATGCACGGGGGGGGGGGGGAAGGGAGAGGTGACTGCGATGTCACGCTGTGCATTTTGAAATATCGAGAGGGAACTCTAAATGGAAACCTGGTGCTACTAAAATAATACCAAACCTTCCTTTCTTTTTAACTTAGGAGACCGAGTTGAGGAGAAAGCAGTGGTTTTTTTTTTTTTTTTTTTCCTTCCTTGACAGCGCCGGCTCTTCTTGGTCATCGTTTTTTTTTCGTTTCCGAAAGAAGGAATTTTCCTTCCTTCCTTCGGAATGTTAAGTTAATGGAGCCGGTGACTATGTTAACGTCACGCGAAAACTTGCCCGGTATAGATGTGGATTTCCCCCCCTCCCCGCCCCAGGAGCTGGTTTAATTTCTCCAGCCTCTTGAAAGGGAAGAGCTTCCCTGCCTCGGCTTGGAAGAGGCAAATCAGCCTCTTGTGTTTTATTTGGTACGTCCCGGTTTCTTTCCGCGCACCTTTCCTCAGACGTAACCCCGCGGGTGCGTGTGTATATGTGTGTGGGGGTCAGTGGGTTTTACGCCCCGAGAAGGATGTACGGCCTTTGAAGGGGAGACGTTTACATTGGGGGAGGCGGGCAAGCCTGTTAAGCAATCCGCCTGGATTGAAATCGCCGGGTCGCTTACAGAGGAGCGAGTCCCGTTGGCTCAATTGATCGGACGTTGCTCGGGTTTTAAGGCTGCCCGTCGAGGAAAAAAACACCCGTGTACATATGCGCTGCTCTTCCTTCCAAGCATTTCGACGTCCTTCGGCCGCCTTCTTTCTCCTCTCCCCCCCCCCCCGCGCTTCGTGGAAATCTCATGAGGCGTTTCAGAACGAGAGGTGGGAGCTGATCTAAGATCACCCCGCGTAAACTTAAAAAGGCGGCGGGTGGGGTAGGTGCGCTAAGCATGTGAACGCTGGTGAAAATAAACGGGGAAAGAGCTGATTACGTACTGTATACCTAGCTTACTCCGAGGTCCTGTAATCCAATGAATAGGTTCCTTTACAGTGCGGACCGTTGTGGGTGTCACAAGACACGAACTTTTCTGCTCTTGTGAGTTTGGCTGAAGCAACTGGGTGTGGCCCATTTGACTTAATCTGGCATAATTTTGGTTTGCTCCCTCTGGGCCAGATGTGTTGAAGAGACTCTGTCTAGAGCAGAGGTCTTCAAACTTGGCAGCTTTAAGACTTGTGGACTTCAATTCCACAATTCAGCAGCCAGCCAGTACAGCATAGGAGTTGAAGTCCACAAGTCTTAAAGCTGCCAAGTTTGAAGGCCTCTGGTCTAGAGCAGGGGTCTGCAACCTTAAACACTCAAAGAGCCATTTGGACCAGTTTCCCACAAAAAAGAAAACACCGGGAGCCACAAAACCCTTCCTGTGCCTAACTATTTCTTGAGTGGCCACAAAACTAGCATATGTAGTTGAATTAAATGTTCTGTTTTCTTCTGAAACTTTTCTTTTCTTGGATTTATTCATGGTTAGCCTACCGGAGGTTGAAAAACTCAAAAAATTGCATGCTGGCGGGTATTGCACATTGGTGGTTGTGATGCATATTTTGAGTGACAGGGAGCCGCAGCAGAGGATTGATAGAAGAGCCTTGGTAGTACAGTGGTCTAAGGCACCCTGTTATTAAGCTGGTTATTAAGACCAGCTGCCTGCAATTACTGCAGGTTCCAATCTCGCCAAGGCTCAAGGTTGACTCAGCCTTCCATCCTTTCTAAGGTAGGTAAATTGAGGACCCAGTTGTGGGGGCAATAAGCTGACTTTGTATAAAATATACAAAAGGATGAAGGCTATTGCTGAGCACATTGTAAGTCGCCCTGAGTCTCTGGAGAAGGGCGGCATATAAATCAAATAAAAAAAAAAAAGAAAAAGAAAGAAAGAGCCACATGCAGCTCCAGAGCCGCAGGTTGCTGACCCCTGGTCTACAGTCTAGACTACTTTCCTTCCAAAGGCTGGGAGGTATTCACAGGTGTATTTAGAATAGAAACTTATACTTTTAGGAGGATTGTGGTCCAATGACAAAGTTGGAATGTGGTGGAGTTATAAACCATGGGGGAGAGGAGAAGATTTGAACAATACAAGGGGTCTTAAGTCTGCAGTTAGGTCTCTGCCCTTCTTCAAACTGTATCTGCACTTTTAGGCAAATGCTAAAAGAAAGGTTATGGGAGATCTTTGAATGTCAGAATGGAAGCCAAGTCAGTTTGTAAAAGAGGGCGTGAGGGAAGTCTTCCCTACAACTTGTAAGGCTACCAAAGAGATGTTTGGGACAGGTTGAAGGATGGGCATTTTTGGGTGGTTTTGTAACCAAAAACCTATTGTCTTTTGGAGATCTTTGGGCTCATCATCACACTACCAGAGCTAATAGAGTTGTGCATGCTTTGAATTTAAAGTCACCAAAGTCTTTGGTGCTTTGTACCTCTTTAATATAACTGCCCTTTTCTAGATGCTGTGGTTGGCCTTTACAACTGCTGCTCACTGTTGGAAGAAAAGCCCACAGAATTAACCTTTTAAGCTCATTTGATCCAATCTATTGGGAAAACAAAGGATAGACTCTTTCCCAATATTCCTATTGACTCCTTCACTGCTAGGATAGAAAGAGCTGCAAGTTTGAAGAAGTGTTGACCTTCATGAAAATCTCCAACCATCATGTTCTCCCATGTCCTGTCTTCTGTTTTGTTTTAGTTTATGAACTGATGGAGAACAGAAAATCTAATAGCATGCTAATCTTATTTTCCCCCCAAGGGTGTGGTTAAAAACTTCCAAAGTTCTGGAAGTTAGCTATTGTGGGAAAATAGGATGCTATTCTAGATATGCTTTTGGTCTGTTCCAGCAGGATTCCTAGTTTCAAAGACCTGTATTATTACAGTTAGATTGAAGAACATAACAGTGTGATGCCACATATATTGCATATTTAAAGTAGATGCTAAATTGGCAGATATATACAGTATCTGCAAGTTGCAGACTGCAACTGATTTTGGAGGAAATGAATGGATCTAAGCAATCATGAAGATTATTTAGTGGGATCACATTCCTGAATCCTATGTGGTTAACATAGTTATTCAAAGTAAAATGAATTTTAAATGATTCCTCACTCCTACCCAAATGGAAAATTAAGAAGTTTTCTTGTTTTTTTATTATCAGATTTTCAAGTAATTTACAATGATCACTTCATTTTAACAGTAAGTTACATGAGGGAGAAGAAAATGTCCTGTACCCTCTTTCAATAAATTACATAGAGGGAAGTGATATATAACAGTAATCTACAAAGGGGATTTCTCTGTAGAGGCATATTGTGAGAGACTGGGAAGAAAATGGAAGAAAAGCACATTTGGGGAGAAGAGATAGTACAGCTCGGTTGTGAAAGTAGTGGGAAGCATCATTAGAAAATTATTTAATTGTAATGAATTCACTACTGAATGGTTCTGCCTAATACAGGTAGTCCTTAACTTACAACAGTTCATGTAGTGACTGTTTGAAGTTACAACGGTACTGAAAAAAAGTGATTATGACAGTTTTTCGCAATTACAACCTTTCCAGCATCCCCATGATCATGTGATCAAAATTCAGGCGCTTGGCAACTGGTTCATCTTTATGACGGTTGCAGGGTCCCAAGGTCATGTGATCACATTTTGCAATCTTCTGACAAGCAAAGTCATCAGGGAAGCCAGATTCACTTAGCAACTGTGTTACTAATTTAACAACTGCAGTGATTCACTTAACAAAAGTGGCATGAAAAGTCGTAAAATGGGGCAAAACTCACTTAACAAATTCCTCACTTAGCAACATAAAACCTGGGCTCAATTGTGAGGACTACCTGTACTTTACTTTTAGAGTTTCCAAGATTATGTTTTTATCACAGTTTTAACATTACATATGCCTTCTTGAAAGTAATATGAACTTGTTTCCTTTGTTTGCTCCCCATGTGGGGCTCAACACGTATTCTTGAAATTCTTTGCCTTCTCTGACATTTGTGGTACACTTTAGAGTCTGTAAAAGTTTTACCTTGCCTGTTTTGGATTGAATTAATCTATTTTATATGTTTTAATTGTTGAATATTGAATAACACCTTTGTCACCTTTCTTTGTTAATCTGAAAATTAAT